ACAATGTCAGTAACAGCCTATTAAGTCTAATTCGGTACTTTAACTTTGCAGCATTAACGGTGAAAGCAAACAAATCTATCGACATGCTATTAAATTCTCTATTTTCCTTCAAGACTTTTCAGCTTGTCTAGCTACGAAAAAACTTAGGACAAACCACTGCTGTTTATGGTCAGCAAAATTCATAAGAAAAGGAAGGAATTCCAAAATAAAGATGTTAAAATAAAATAAAAAACCCCAACTGTGATTAACGTAATATCATTTTTGTTAAACCCCCAGGGAGCCACTGGAGAGGGGCTGAAGAGCCGTATGCAGCTCTGGAGCCTCAGGTTGCCGACCCCTGTCTTAGGCAGACAGCACAGTGGAAACTGACAGTACAGAGAGAAACAGAGCTCACACACTGAGCTTGATTTGAATATGTCAAGTTAATTTTCAGTCTCAGGTCCATTAATGCAGCGACCTTTTTCTTTAAGGTAACCTATAACAAGGCAAGAATCTGTAATGTAAATCTAATCCCCCTCCTTTATCCACTTTTCTAGCCTCTAACTTCTGCACCACATTTATCTTTTCCCATCTTACCTCTCGAGCAGAGCAGAGCTCCGTTGGCCATGGCCACCTGCAGGGCCTGTGCCAGCCGGTCCAGGGCCAGCTGAGACTGTGCACGTGTATCTGTGGATGACGTGTGTGTGTGTTTGTCGGCCTGGTCCAACAGCCTGGAGAGGTCTGAGGTCAGTGCGGCCAGGGACTCCAACTGGAGCAGCGCCAGGCGACCAAAGAGCCCCTTCTCATTGAGTATGTTTGGCAACAGCATGAGGACCTGAAAGTGACAGGAGACGGGAAATTGAGTGTTGGAGTTGTTTATTTATATGCATAAAAATGTGTTCTGTAGGTGAATTTATCTAAACAGACCACACACCTGTAGGACGCTCAGATGGAGAGCGGAGAAAAGAGGCCCCACCTCTGGCTCCCTCTCAGTGGTGCCGTTGGTTAAAACCTGCTTGTTGTCTCTCCTGTAGGCCAGGGGGGCTTTGACGCACCAGCGCACCAGCCCCCCTAAAGGTGTGACATCAAGCGAGCTGATTGGCTGGTTGCCAGAGAGGGGCGTGTTCAGGAAGGTGATGAGGACCAGACGGGGGTCGTCTTGGATCCACGACACGATCATCTGGAGGAGTTCTAAAGGAGGGGTGAGCTCTTCTGAAAACACACACACACACACACACACACAAAGATGATGTTCAGGATAGAAACACTCCAGGGTATTTCAGATTTTAGAGAGGTCAAATCTCTAGGTTTTTTTTTTTTTACAGCCCCTTCAGAATGTTGCAGTCTCAACAATTAACACAAATGTAACCAGTCCCTATGAATCCTATCCCTATGGTCCCAGTTTTTACATGTTTTTGTACTTTTGTGTTCTCCCACCTGTGTTGAGGTCATAGAGGGTGGTGACAGCAGTGATAAACTGGCAGCAGAAGCGTGGGCTGGCGCTGTGGATGTTCTGCAGGGTGGGCCCCGAGCCTGGCACCATACTGCAGTAGTCATCCACCAGCACCTGGGCCAGGCGCACACAGTAGACCCGGTGTGTTCTCTGCAGGACACAAACACAACCAGAGGCACTTAGGTTCAGTACGTCCACAAACACATATCCACACATGGAGACACTGAGGAGTTGAAATCAGGACTTTGTGAGGACTAGCATCACACTCAAGGGTCTAAAACTCAAATTGAAAAGAAGTGTAAAACACACACAGAACACAGTTAAATGCACATGTACGTATGTAAGTGTGGTTGAATTAGGGCTGGATCAAATACTATTTTTTTGTAGATGCGGGTTAAAAAAAGGATTAAATGAAGGTATCGTTTGACTGAAGAAGTTTCGATACTTCTTGGCACTGGGTTAAACGGATACCCCGCCCCAGTCTGAGTCCTCACCTGTAACCACGTCGCAGCACATTCCAAGATCGGAACCCTGCCCACGGCGATTGCCATGGAGACCAGCTTGCCTAACAGCGCCATGCGACTTTCATCTGCCTGGTTGCCTTGGAGACTGAAGAGGGCGGAGAACATGAGCTGACGGACCGTATCACGGCTCTGCTCCTGGAAACAGCTGCACATGATCTCCAACAGCTGGAGCTCCTGGAGCGCACTCATCCGCTGGAAGAAAGACACAGATCAGATTTATTGGCTGTTCGTATGTGTGTGTTAATATACTGTAAATTGGTGCACAAGTGTTTGAGGGTCATTTCTTACCCTGGCGGGAGTGTTTCTGTCTTTAGGTGCATGCAGAATGAACTCTTCCACCAGCTCCTGGGTTTTGGAGTCGACCTGAGGAGGCTGCCTCCCGGACTGCACCAGGTTACAGATGTAGATGTCCAGGTGATACAGCAGCTCCTTGGCTGCACTCAGCACATCGCGAGGCAGCAACGACTGACGGATGTCACCCATCACCACCTGACAGAGACCCGTACAGAATGTGACACATTTTAAATCTTCATTACAAGAAAAATGTGTTGATGAAAGTTCAAGAGTGACAAAGAACTGTTTTAAAACTCATTCTTGAGAAAAGGGACAAAACTTTTTCACTTAAGTATATGGACATATATGGATGAAATGTGGTTATGTATATGTGATTAAGTATTATTACTTTGCAAGGAAACTAAATATATATAATTACTTAGTGCTAGTTTTACATTTTCTAGATTTAGACGGCTTTTAACACATTTTTTTTAATTGTTTGAAGTTGTGAATTCTTGTCTGGGATAAGACAGTTTTCTAGCACAGGGCAAGTGTATTGGTTAAAAAAATGAAAGCAGATCAAAATATTTTATAAATCATTCGTTTTTTCATATTAATAAATCCTTTAAAAATATAATTTCACAACAAAAGCCGAATGTGTGTGTTAATAAGTCATTATTTTAAGGCATTTTTGGTAGGTGAGTAGTCCAAATTCTCAAGAATGGGTGAATAAATTGGAATTTGCAACATTCAATTTATGTAACATAGCATGGATTTGTAGACTTGACTTAACACAGTCTTGAATTAATTTGAAGATGTGCCTGCAGAGAAAACAACAATAAACTAAATACATCTAACTGTAACACAACACTGCTCTGATCCTAAAGGTATGTGTACTTATTCATGTACGAAAAAAACTTAAAAGACAGTAAAATAAACACTGTTTAAAGACTATTAATTTAAAAAGTTGAGTTTAAATGTTACATGTCTATGTATATGTGTTGTGAACGGTATGTTCACAGCTGTAACTCAACTCCTTTCAGGTAGAGCAGCTCCACAGTCAGTCCGTCTCCTCCATCCTGCTACAGCTAGCTAACGTTAGCATGGTTAGCTAACATGACGTGTCTCTGCTCCACAACAAATCTTACGTGTGTTTAATATCGTCGGAGCCTTTTCTGGAAAACACATGTATGTAGTGAAGGTCTTACCTGAGCTAAAAGCTCTTAATATCCTTGATAAATCTGCCGACGACAAGACTAGTGAGTGGTCTCAGAACGACGACGGAACCACTTCCTGTTTCTACGGAAGCCTGTCAGGGATAAAACACTACAGCCGTTGACGTTTTCAGCGGAGTTAGTGCACGTGCTGTTTATTAAATGTAAATAAAGACAGTTTCCATCTATTGAAATAAAACAACGGCGCGACTTTATTTTACCTGAGCTGAGATATTTTACCCATAAAATACCGTAAGGTTTTAAAATATTAAAATGTATTTTATTATCTCACACAGGATTACACGAGGAAGAAAAGTTATGTCTTTTTTTTGGCATCTACATTTATAAGTTCGCCTATTTCAGTTTACAAAGACAGACATATATCATCTCAAACATACATACATAAAACGTACAGAAAATAGAAATATAAAATATAAAACAGACGGAGCTATCACGAGGGTTAAAGAAAATAGAAAATAGTAAGCAAAGTAGGCCTATCACCAGAACACTTTGTAGCCTACAATATACACCATAGGCTACAAATATACATGGGTTGTATTGTACTTTGATTTATTCCATGACATATTTAAACTGTAAATTGGCCTGTTTTATCCAACAAGACTTTGTCTTTGTCATTAGTCAAACTCAACATTCTTTTAACAGGACTATCTGACACAGAATTAGGCCTGTATATGTTGCAGCTATTGATATTCCACATATTTATTATATGATTTCTCTGCCTTTCTCTCTTTTTGTGTGATTCTTTTTCTCTTTTTGTGTGATTTTTTTTCCTATTTTGAGTTTTTCTGCCTTTTTTCTTTGTTTGTGATTTTTTTCTGTTTTTTCTTTCTTTTTCATGTTTTTTCTCTTTTTATTTTTTGTATTTTCTCTTTTTATTTTTTCTCTTTTTATTTTTTATATATTTTTTCTTTTTGTATGATGATTTTTTTCTGCCTTTTCCCTTTTTGTGTAATTTTTTTTGTCTTTTTTTCCTTCATTATATTATTTTTTCTTTTCTGTATGATGATTTTTTCTTCCTTTTTTGTATGTTTTTTCTGTCTTTTTTATTTTTTATATATATTTTTTTCTTTTGTATGATGATTTTTTCTGTCTTTTTTCTTTTTGTATGATATTTTTCTTTTTTAAATTATTTTTTTCTACCTTTTCTCTTTTTGTATGATTTTTTCTGTCTTTTTTCTGTTTATAAAACAAATGCTGACTAGCAGTGCTGCTGGCTGGCCAAAACAAACTGAACTTTAAGGCAGTGTCATTGTGTTACAACACTGCATTACCCAGTCGTTTTTGCTCTGTCACAAAATGCCTTGTTTAAATATAATTTGTAAATATATTTGTATCCTTATCACATAAAGTATATTCCACGTGATAGTTTTATTTTTGAGAAGTTGCTGATATTTAGTTCCATTGTCATGGGTTTAAATTTATCAGTTTAAACACAGACATAAACAAGTTGTTTTTCGCCTCTGTGCATAAATTATATATCATATTGAAAATCACTTAGCTCACTGTAATCCCTTCTAATCTACACAGGGGCGCGCCCGCAGGCACCGGAGCGGCTGATGGGATAAAAAAAAACAAAAACGGAAACGGTGGTGCACTCTCTGCCGCGCGCTCCCGACACCACTTCGGTTTTGCACTTTACACCGTCCCGTCGAGTGATCCGGAGCATCCCGCAAGATGACCATCAACACCCTGGCTAAAGGAGGCTGGAACCGGGAGCAGATGACATGCTTTCGGAAGGTGAGACTGAAACACACTCTGCTGTAGTTTGATTTTATAATGTAACATATTATAGTGTGGATTTATTAAAATCGTGTGTGTGTGTGTGTGTGTGTGTGTGTGTGTGTGTGTGTGTGTGTGTGTGTTGGCTGTGTATGACTGTGTGTGTTGCCCTGACAGATGGAGAAAGTGATAGTGGCCATGCAGGACCCTGACATGGGTATAAAGATGAGGAACCAGAGGCTCCTCATCACTGTCATCCCACACGCAATGACAGGTGTGTGTATATATATATATATATATATATGTGTGTGTGTGTGTGTGTGTGTGTCCCTTTATGTCAGTGTGCATTAGCATCTGTGTGTGGACATGCACGGTGCAGCTTGTGTTTGTCCCAGCTGTCATGCATAATGCAGCAGTGAATTTGGGAGAATGCTGTGTGCTTTTTGCAGAGTACATGGAGGAAGTTTGTCCTCTTTTTCTTGTCTCCTTTATTTCTGTCTCTCTCTTTTTTTCCTCCTCCAGGCCATGACATAATTGACTGGCTGATCCAGAAATATACCATTTGTGAGGAGGGTAGGTAGCTGTGTTAATACATACATTTAGTGTTAGTGGTTTGCTGTGATTCTGTGTTTCCACTTTCCCCGCTTGTTGTGTGTCGTTGCTAGCGTGTTGCCAGGATATGGTGTTTTCTCTCAAGCTGACGTGGTAGTGATGTGCAATGTGGGGGGATGCTGTTTCCAGTAAACAGGAATGGGGTGAGCCCCAGAGGATCCGAGTTTGATTAACTCACCTGATGATCTGGGTTTGATTAGCGTCCCTGTGGAGGCCTTCACCTCAGGAGCCTTCACCCAGCCTGAAGTAAATTAGAGGTTGGGGAAAATAAAGAGTAGCCCGCTGGTCCCTTTTGCCTCAGAGCAGACTAGAGGAGGAAAGAGATGAGCCAGTCAGCGAGGGAGGGAGACAGAGTGCTAAGAGCTGATTAAAATGCATCACACAGCTTTTTTTGGTTGCTGTCAGTCATAAAAGTAGGGCTCTTTAACAAATGAGGAGAGACTGAAGATTGATGATGCAGTTCATCACTGGGACAAAGGCTTGATTTGAGACAGACCGCTGACAGGGTGCAGGAGGTCAATAAAAAAAGACAAGTGTGATGAACTAAATCCACAGCATTGTTTAATAATTAACTTCCTTCTGGCAAATTGATTAATTACTGATTTATTTCACATTCAGTTTGTTCACTTTGAGAGCTTTATCACTACTGAAACAGCCTTTTCAAGTCCCATCAAATAATATATGAGTGTTTTCTATATCCTCCTGGGACCTGAACTTTTGTTTGGTATGAATTTTAATTTCCTCTAGATATTTGGGATCAGTAGGACCTGATGAATATAAAAAAAACATAATATTATCAACAATTATTAAGTCACAATGGCATCACACATGAGATAATAAAGCCCACTGTCAAACCAGTACTCTTTTCTTTTTGACTTTTTTCTCTTTTATTTCTTTTTTCCTGTGATTTTTTTCCTTTTTGTATCATTTTTTAATATCTTATTTGTATGATGTTTTTGTCTTTTTTCTACAATTTTAACATCTTTTTTTCTATGATTTTCTTTCTCTTTTTCCTTTGTGTATGGATTTTTAACATCTTTTTTCTATAAAAATGTTGTCTTTTTCTTTTTTGTATTATTTTTTAATATCTTTTTTATGTTTTTTTCTCTTATTTATTTTTGTATGACTTCTTCTGTCTTTTTAAAATCTTTTCTGTATGATTTTTTTTTAATTTATTTTTTGTATGATTTTTTTTCTCAGAATGTGCAACTATAAAACTAAATAAGTACTTCCTAATCAACAGTGTCTTAGCTTGTTACTGATGCTACTATAAAAAACTAGAAATTTTGGGCGGGGCAACACAATGGTTTGAGTTGAAGGTGTGAGGAAGAATAGTATCAGTAACATTGTTAACACTGTGCTACATTACAGAGAAATACAAAACCGTACTAATGAACCTTCATTAATATAGGCCTATATTTTATCTACAAGTGCACGTCACACACTGAGCGAGCCGCCTGTTAATGACGCTGTCGGCAAAGCAGTAATGATTGTGCTAAGTGGCTAATGGGCATGTAGCTACTTCATGTTTCAGATGATACGTCATGTTTGTAGTCGACCAATGAAGATGAATTTACATATCACCTTAGGTTCATCCTTCACCTTCTCAAAATGATCCCACACTTTGGATTTCCTGCCCGACATGTTATTAACTAGCCTGTGTAGTAACCACAGATACCAGGTATCTGTTTTTGGATTCTTCGTTCATCTGCAGCATGCATGAAAAACAAAGTTTTCTTTACAATTTCAACATAACACGGGGTGAGTAATTGATATACAAATGGTCATTTGGGGGGTGAAGTATCCTCTAAAGGTGTGCAAGCCTTAATATAAAGCAGGTAAACTACTTTACAGCCCCAACAGTCACCTAAATAAACTGTGACACTCCAGTGATTATTTTTTCTGTGGTGTTTCACAGAGGCACTGCACCTCAGCGCCATGCTGGTGAAATACGGGTACATTTACCCTCTCAAGGAGCCGAGATCTCTCGTGTTGAAGCCTGATGAGTCACCCTACCGCTTCCAGGTAAGTTCGTCATCCCCCATGCAGTAGGTTCATTTTGAGTGCCTGTAAAAACCCACGCCTCGCCCCTCCTTGTTTTAATGCTGTACCACTTTTGGCTAAACCCTCTCATTCTACCTGTAACACTGGTTATCTCCTGTTCCCCCTCTCTTTCTCCATTAGCCCACTTTCTAATCCCCCATCCATCTGCCACTCTCCACTGCCACTTTTTCATCGCACGCTTCACTTTCAGCCTTGGTCAGAAATGTAAAAAATGTCACTTGTTTTTCTCAGACTCCATACTTCTGGACTAGTACTCGGTGGCCTGCCTCAGAGCTGGACTATGGTGAGATAATGCCAAAAACAATCTCAGTAATGCCCATTTATACATTATACATTTGTGAGGCAAAACAAACATTTTCCACACATCATCACACTACAAAATGTGACAAACTACCAATAATTCAAAGAAAGAAAGCTTCCACTTAGAATGTAACTTCTTAGATTTCTGCTAATCATTTGCAGGAGTTTTGGGCAAAACATACATTTGTGCAGCAGATCAGGGCTCAAATTTATTAACATCTGTTTTCATTTCTCTCTGGACTGTTTTTGTATCCTTCCTTTATGCCATCAGCAATCTATTTGGCTAAAAAGAACATAAGAAAACAAGGAGAACTGATGGAATATGAAAAGGTGAGGAAAGTGTGTGTCTGTGTGTGTCAGTAAGTGAGAGAACCTGTGCGTCTTTTATGAATTATTCAGTAGTCTGGGGTACCAGGTCGTTATTACTTTTCTAAATTCTAGTCCTCTTTCTTTCTTTCCTCATCCCTCATCTTTTTTTCCTCCTCTGTTTTAGGAGAGGTACAGTGTGTTACATAAGAGAATCAACCACACCTGGGACTTTGTGGTGATGCAAGCCAGAGAGCAACTCAGGTACACACACAAAAACACATGCTCTCTCTCACACTCACACACACACACACACACACACACACACAAACACAAACACAAACACAGATATTAACTTACAGTGTGATTTATGTTTAGAGCATCCAAACAGAGGCGGAAGGCTGACCGCATTGTTCTAGAATGTCAGGAGCAGGCCTACTGGCTCATCAACAGACCCCCGGTATGTTCACTCCTATTCTACTCCACTGTGTTTATGTCAGATTATGTACTTTATTATAGTATACTATACTAAGGGAAAAGGAAGAGATTATACTATACCATACCATACCATGCCATGCCATGCCATGCTATGCTATGCTATGCTATGCTATGCTATGCCATGCGATGCCATGCTATGCTATACTATACTATACTATACTAAGAAGATGAAGAGGGTATACCATACTATACTACATTATACACCACTGTTCTAAGAAGAAGAAAGTAGCCTATGCCATATCATAATACACTACACTATACTATACAAAGAAGAAAAAAAAGGCATACTATATTATACCATGCCATGCCATGCTATGCTATGCTACACTGAGAAAAAGAAAAAGGCAAACTATACTATGCTATACCATACCATGCCATGCCATGCCATGCCATGCTATACTAAGAAGATGAAGGGGGTATACCATACTGTACTATATTATATTATACACTACTGTACTAAGGAGAAGAAAAAGGTATACTATACTATACTTTGCTATACTAGACTATGCTATGCTATGCTGTACTGAAGAAGGTGAAGAGGGTATACTGTACTATTTTATACACCACTGTACAATGAAGAAGAAGAAGAAAGTATGCCATATTGTACTACACTACACTATACTATACGAACAAGAAAAAGGTTACTATACTATACTATACTATACTATAATATAATAATAATAATAAGAAGAAGAAGAAGAAGAAGAATACTATACCATACTATACTACACTTTACTACACTATACTATAATATAATAATAATAAGAAGAAGAAGAAGAAGAAGAATACTATACCATACTATACTATACTACACTTTACTACACTATACTATACTATAAGAAGAAGAAGAAGAAGAAGAAGAAGAATACTATACCATACTATACTATACTACACTTTACTACACTATACTATACTATAATAATAATAAGAAAAATACTATACTATACTATACTATACTATACTACACTATACTATAGTATACTGCAATACTTACTATACTTACTATGCTGTAATAATAATCATGAGAACGTATGCCATATCACACTATACTACACTATACTATAATATAAGAAAAATACTATACTACACTATACTATAATATAATAAGAAAATACTGTACTACACTATACTATAATATAATAAGAAAAATACTATACTACACTATACTATAATATAAGAAGAAGAAGAAGAAAAATACTATACTATACTATACTGCAATACTTACTATACTTACTATGCTGTAATAATAATCATGAGAATGTATGCCATATCACACTATACTACACTATACTATAATATAAGAAAAATACTATACTACACTATACTATAATATAATAAGAAAATACTGTACTACACTATACTATAATATAATAAGAAAAATACTATACTACACTATACTATAGTATACTGCAATACTGACTGTACTTACTATGCTGTAATAATAATCATGAGAACGTATGCCATATCACACTATACTACACTATACTATAATATAATAATAAAATAAAGTAGTAGTAAAAAATACTATACTGTACTTTGTTACTCTATACTATACTGCATGATACTATATTAAGCTATACTACACTATACAATACTGTACTACACTAAATCTCAATATACTTTACTATATTATAGAAGAAGAAAAAGGTATACCATACTGTGCTATGCTATACTATAATATCTAACCATATCTAACTACTAAAATATACTATAATGTTCTCAAGAATATATACTACATTACACTGTTCTCTACTGATTAGAATATATACTATAGTACATGACACTATCTTATACAACTCTATACAATTCGATACTGTACCATACTATACTGCTCTACACCACAGTGTTCTAAACTGTGTTGGGCTGGAATATACTACACTATTCTAGTCTACACTATACTTTACAATATTTTATTACTCTATACTGTACTACACTAAACCTCAATGTACTACACTACACAATACTCTTTCATACTGTTCTACAATATAAGGTTCTTTTCTGTGTTGGATGAGAATATTATACTATCTCATGCTACTCTGTATAGTACAGTACTGTTTTATACTCTGCTGTTCCACAGTATAGTGTTCTCTACTATACCATGCTATATTATTTATATGGCTCTACACTATACTGTACTACAGTTTTATTCTACTATACTATAGTGTTCTCTAGTGTGTTGGATTATAATAAAATACTATACTTTACTAAACAACGATAGAAACATGTATGTATTACAGTATCTACAACAGTCAGAGGTCCCACTAATGTTCACTCACAGTCCCTTCTGCCTCCTACATGAAATATTCAGCCCATCTGGTAAAAGCCTGAGCTGACAACAGGAAAACATAGAGACAGAGAGACAGTGAGGAAGAGAAACAGTTATCATCATATTCCACTTTCTTTATGTTGCCTTAACATCACAGCAGCCCATTTGATTCTCAGACAGACAGAGGTAGAGAGCAATAGGGACTAAGTAGGGGGAAACAGGAAGAGACAGAGGAAAGGGATCAAGGGAAGAGTGGAGGTACTGTGGGGGAGAGGAGAGGGTGAAGCAGAGGACAAGGGTTTGGAGGAAGGACGCCATCTTGTCTTGCCCTTATGAATTAGGGACGAGGACGTGGAGAAAAAGAAAGAGAAACTTGAGTAATAAAAATCAGAGCCAGTGGAGTGGAAAGCTCAGGGAAGGATAAGTGCTCACACATACGCACACACACACACACACACACACACACACACACACACACACGCACACACAAAACACTTAGTTATTATTGTGTGCGTGTGTGTGTATTTTCAGCCTGGGGCACATAATGTGTTGGACATGGGTCTGGACAGACCAAATAACTTCAGTGCACGAGTAACACTGGTCAGTGAAATCACTCCTCACCTTCTGTTTTACTGTTTATTTGCCTCTAAAAAAAATATAATGTCATAACACGTCTGCTATCTGTCTCTTCTCTCTTTTGTTTTATCGTTTTTTCTCTTTCTCGCTGCTCGGATTGTTTCAAAGTAAGTGTCCAAGTGAGCTGTGCTATACTATGGGCAATTACAGTTCATTACAATATTTTTATATTTATCAATTCTAACTAACTATCTAACTGCACTCCCTGAGGAAATATCATATTTCTGGAAAAATGAAAGAGTGATTCCAGAGAGAAGCAGACAGAGGGGTCTACAGTCTGTGTTTGAAGGATATATCCAGGATGTCAAACTGACTCAGCAGCAACAACAGGTTAAAAAGACAAAGATAGAAGCTAAAGCCGAACTATAGGCTATAGATCACAATATATGTTATTGCAATACCCATAATATCACAAAAAAAAATAAATTTGCAATAGTAGTGGAAGATACGACTAATTAGAACAATTTCTAATAAGCAACAGCCCAGAAAAATATCCATCTTTGACAATAATTAAATATATAACACATATAAACACCAGAAAGCTGCCTTTTACTACTGATATGACTGTATACATGTATAATGCAGTTATAATGTGACCCTGAGTGATGTCACTGTGTTTCTCTCAACAGCACTAGAACAGCGAGTACTACAAAAGTGAGGTAAACATCATGTATAATTTAAATACTCTCACTTAAAATACATTGGGTGCATATAATTGCTCTATTTGTTTGTGTTTACATCGTGCTTTTTGCCTTTGTTCACAGATTGATACCTGTCGAAGGGCCCTTGGAAGAAACCGTGTAAAGTCATCCATCTGCCTAGAGGGGTATGTGTCAGTGTGATGATGCTGCAGACACACACACATGCACATGTAAACATTCACACAAGGGCTAACAGACATGCAGTGCCTGGACCGAACTCTGCGTCCCAAGCACGCACATGCACACATGCACATAAGGCTTAGTGCTCCCACTGAAAGAGCCACTAATGGACGCTTCCTGAGGCAAGTTGGAATTAGTGGCCATTAACTCTTATGATCTGCAGCACTAATACAATAATGCTGTGTGTGTGTTTGTGTGTGCATTCAACTGCCTTTGTGTGTGTATGTGCAGTTTTCTGAAATACAGCGAGCAGTACCAGAACCACGACCCCATTATGCAAGGCTGCCTTCCCAGTAACCCCTGGATCTCTGATGACACGGCACACTGGACAATGAATTCTGAAATGTGAGGAAATACACACAGATACACACACTGTAACAAACACACAGTGCAGTCCACTCTAGTTCACAGGAAGTCATTTAGTTCAGCTGGTTTCAGATTTTCTTGTAGCATCTCTTAACATGTCTGTTAATTGTTTGTGTGTGCAGGGTGCCTACACCGACACGTCTTCGAGTGGAACGTTGGAGCTTCAGCTTCATGGAGCTTCTCAATGACGCCATGGGGAGGCGGGAGTTCATGACCTACCTGGAGAAAGAGTTTAGTGGTAAAGAAGAGTGACTGCAGTGTTGGAATATATACAAAATACAAATGCTAAAGGACAGTTCACCCTAAATCAGTCATGTTTCCTCTTACCTTTGCTGTGAGTTGCAGAGTGTTAAAGATATCAGCTGTAGAGATGTCTGTCTTCTCTCCAGTATAATGAAACTAGATAGCACTCAGCTTGTGGTGCTCAAAGCGCCAAAAAAATACATTTGAAAAACTCAACATCAGTGTGTCTTTCCAGAAATCATGACCTGGTTACTCAATATAATCCACAGACCTTGTTGTGAGCAGTTTCATGTAGGAACTATTTTCTTTCTACTTAACTACACCTGCCAACCATATCACCGCACAAAAGGAAGTTTGCATCTACTGCTAGCTCACATAGCACCACTGAGCTAGCTACAAATCATTAGCTCTGTTATGTTGTGTTCATACCGGGCACGAATAAAACATGTAAAGTCAATGTAAAGACACAATTAGATGCGAATTCCCAGCTGGCAGCACAATGGATGCGACACAAATGACGCAAAATATGTGAATTAAGCATCACGAATGAAGTTAAGTTTGTGATTTCACGTCATACATACAGAAAAACTTCAGCGACTAATTTGATAGCCAATCCGCATTGAGATCCTCCAGGAACATACGACACCAAGGACGTACAGGCAGAAGTTCATTTATCGATTCAGAGATTTCACGTATGTACGACGTGAGTTGTTCGTGCTCATCAAGCGAGTCAACACAAAATATTCTAGCGTTCAAACTTGCATGAGTGACGTGACGCGAAAATTCAAACTGCATTTGGTGTGAACACATTAGATTCTCCACAATTCAATACTCAAGCTCAATTCATGGAAACAGTGAGCAACAAAGTGTAATGCATTCAGATTTACCAGCATGGTAAACAAGAGAGACGTTAAAAAAAAAACAAAAAAAAAACAAAAAAAAAACGCTGAAGTGGCCCTTAAGTCTGAATATCCATCCAGTCCTCAATTGTCTTAATTCCTTTAGTCTGTATGGGTCCACCGATCAAAAGAATCAAAAGAGTTCTTCATAAATTAATCCAAGTTCTGAGTACTGTCCGTTGCTAACTATGTATGCTAGTTAGCAATGAGTACTGCAGTTTTTGTGACATATTATTCTTGTCCTCCTGCAGAGTGTAGTTGGGTATGCTTGTTTTTGTTCCCTTGTTGGCTACAAAATAAAAGTGTCCCCAAGCTTTTCTGTGTATTTCTTACTCTGGACAGCATGTGCTCCCAGTTTAGAAGGCCAATGGGCTCTGTCATGTATCCTTGTGGCCACTGTACTATGACCTCTAAAGGTCTTTTTCCTCAAATTCATTAATGTTTACATCTCAAACTGTCAAGAGCACGAGCCTCTCGTCCATGAGTAGACGCACTCTTCCCTCTGCGTGGAGATACAGTTGGCTGGTGTAGTTTGGTAGAAAGAAAATAGTTCCTACGTGAAACTGCTCACAACAAGGTCTGTGGATTATCTTGAGTAACCAGGTCATGATTTCTGGAAAGAGACATTGATGTTGAGTTTATCAAATGTAATTTTTGGCACTTTGAACACCACAAGCTGAGTGCCATTTAGTTCCATTATATTGGAGAGAAGGCAGACATCTCTACGGCTGATATTTCCAACACTCAGCAACTCACACCAAAACAATCTAGACTGATAAATAGCACTACAGGTAAGAGGATAAATCTGTGTTTTTGATTTTGGGGTGAACTGTCCCTTATAAACATTTGATGATAAGGGTTTGCTAATCGGTCCCAACTCGGTCAAAGGAAGTGAGATGATTAAATCACAATCACATGGTATAAATTGGTAATTAGATGCTGCAAACAGAATTATGTAAGCTTATTAAGATAATAAAGAGAGAAACATGAATGTAATTATCATTGGACAATCATCTTAAATTGATTCTTGCTTTCATTAGCATTCAGAATTCCATTACCTGCTCTAATGACACTCTCTAATCCCAGCGGTGAGAGATGGAGGGACTGAGGTAGTGGAACAAAGATCAATTTAATGTTATGGTTGGTTGAGAGGATGGAAAGAGGAGATAAGGAAGGAGAACAGAGACATAAAGCAGGAAAGAGATTTGTTCATCCATGTGGACATATTAAGTATTGCCAGGGGGCAAGGTTTTCCACAGAGGCCAGCCATGCTATAAAAAGTCTGCAATTGTTTGTGGTGTAATTTGGCTCCATTTATACCCTACACCTCATTGTCTGTCTCTCTCTGCTAGCGGAGAACCTGTGTTTCTGGCAGGCCTGTGAGGAGGTTAGACACGGAGAAAGTTCCAGAATCATTGAGAAAGTTGAGGAGATCTACAAGTAAGTGTACGACACGCACACAGACACTCTTATATTTTCTGTCAGGTGACTGACACTCTTTTGTGTGTGTGGTTCAGAAACTTCCTGGCTCCTGGAGCTGCCCGCTGGGTCAACATCGACAGTAAGACGATGGATAAAACTCTGGAGGGGATCAGACACCCACATCGTTTTGTCATGGACGACGCACAAATGCACATCTACTTTCTCATGAAGAAGGTTTGACCTCTGACACACTGATATTTAAAAGTTTGGGTGTGGAAAGACAAGACAATCCTTATAACAATTCTGCAGGTTGCAAAAAGCGCTGCCTTTTTAAAAAATTGAATTCCACCAGTAAAAAAAAAAAAACGCTTGCTGCCCATTTTTATTGTTGAGGGCACTTGCTGTAGCAAGTAGTCAGCAGATAGTTTGTTGGTCACAGGGAAACAGATCTGCGTGGGTACATGAGACCCTAAAAAAGAGGGTGGATCATGGGGAGTACCACCAGTTGGTCCAGGAGCTTCTCCTCGATGATGGCCGTTTCCAGGCATAGTCTAGGATGACTTGGGGGCAGTTTGACAACCTACTGTCTATCATTGGGCCATATAGCTCTAGGTATCCAGCAACCGCTACAACAAGTTTCTCCTCCATTATCGACCACCACAGAAGGCCTGCCTCTCAAATCATTGAAAAAAGATGACACAAAAAGATGGGACGTGGGGCATTTTCCGCTCTGAGTTGAAGTTTTTTCAGCTTGAGGAGTTCAGAGTGCTACGGCAAAAATGCCAGGCACCTGGAGTGAAGAAACGCAAGGCATGCCGCAACGCAAAAACAGCAAGCAAAAAGCTTCATTCTCATTAAAAATAATTACAAAAAGGCACCTGCGACATTCTCCTCTGACCTCTGGCATCAACCATGCCACGTTCAAAGTCACTCAAATCACATTACTTCCACATTCTGATGCTCGGTTTGGACTTCAACAGGTCGTCTTCACCATGTCTACATTCATAAATGCATTGAGGTGCTGCCACATGATTGGCTGATAGGCTATTTGCATTAACAAGCAGCTGAACAGGTGTACCTAATAAAGTGGCTGGTGAGCATAGATTCTAATTCTGTGGCAAACACTGGTAATGGTGTGTGTTTGTGTGTGTGTGTGTTTGCATATACAGGACTCCTATCCAAGATACCTCAAGTCTGATCTGTACAAGAACATGCTGGCCAAAGCTGTCGTCCCCCAGGAGACAAAGAAGAGGTAACATTTCACTTTAATCACCACTTTTACTTTCCTTTAACTTCAGTACATCATCCTCTAACACTCTTCCTTTCCTTCTCTCCTTCCTCTCAGTGTGTTCCCCTTCATGAGACGCCAGCGGCACTCTAGCCCCTCCCCCGCTCAGGCTGTCACCCATGCGACAGAGGAAGACGGGCACGCCAAGGGGGCCGGGCAAGCAGGTACCAACTCTGCAGCCGGCTCCCATGTCTGATGCGTGTCAGACTCGATCTCAGTCTCTATTGTCTCTGTTGGTCAACCATAGCAACCACCCAAGGTGCTCTCCTCTGCTTTTTCTTTCGAGTCAGTCCACAGCTAGGATTTCAGCGTTAGGAATTCCTCTCAGAGCACAGGCGTTACTGCAAACCTCAGTAGCAGCACATCTTATTCCCAAAGCACAGAACGAAGGAGAGCTTTTAGTGTTTCTGTTAGAGCCTTTACTGCTGCACAGACATCCTGCGTCTACATCCCATCTCAGTCCAGAAACTCTGTCCTGTTGTACATGATATTAACTCCTAACACCAGATCTTCCTTCCTTAGCATTTAAATAGAATCTACACTGAGACAAAATGATTGTTTATAGAGCAATAGGATGTGAAATATGTATTTAGTCAAAACTTTAGCTCAGCATGTCCGTGATTATCGTACAGTTTGCTTGTTTTGTTCATTCCATGCCGGAGCTTCACATCGTGTGATGGTTGTTGCTGTTAATTTTTGCTCGAGCATGTTTTCATCCTAATAAAATGTCACAACAGCGTTCAGTGTTGTGTTGTGCTCTCAGCTCTGCATGCTGTGGTAAACTGTGAGTGGATCTGTGATCAGGCTTTGATTATTTTTCTCCTTTTATTTTGACTTCCTGTCATTTCTATCACGTTCTTTTTCTTTGTGGCCTTTGGGTTTATTCTAAACACTCATATGGTTTGTTTTAGCATTTATTAAACTCCAGATGTGAAGGTTTTGGAATTATAGAGCTCCAGTAACTCAGCTCCTTTGACAGCTACTCCCAGGAGCTTAAAAACCAGATGCTAGACATGCACAAGACATCGGCTGAGGTTTGTTTCCCGCAGTGACATCTGTCTGCACATGCTCTTCTCTTTCATTTTCTCTACTGCGTCTGAACATAGTAACTTCTTTTAACACTTTTCACCATCTTAATAACCTCTCAGGTTTTACTTCCTCCATTCCTTCCTCCTGTAGGAGCTGCAGTCTCTCCTACTGGACTGGCTCCCTCTACTGGCTGCAAGTGGTCAAAGTAACTCAAGATTTAACACTCCCTGTAAATTAGTGGGTCCGGACCTTTTAGGCTTTTGACCCCCCAGAACTAACAGTACCATTCATTACAGCCATGAGGTGAACACTAGTTCATTCTCAGACCATTTTATTTAAATGGAAACCTCAATATTTTCCAACATGGACGCTTTTTCTCATATTTTTATGTCAAAGGGACGAATGTGTACAACAATTTTTTAAACTGGTCCAGTGTTGAAAGAGAGCGCGATGGCTGCGGGCTGCGACTCTTAGCATGTGTGCACTGTCAATTTATGTCCTCTGAAAGTGCTTGTTTTTGCCACTGAGAGACTCAGATTGTTATTACAAGTGTCTGACAACACAACACAAAGGATCCCTACAGAGATAGACCTTTTCGTTAAAGAGTAAGATCCTTTTTGTTTGACCAGAAACAGCCCTGAAATCTCCATCACCAAACCCACCAGACTCCATTTAAATAAACAGTAATTTTATAATCGTAAAACGCGGATCACTTAGAGTCGATAGAAACAAAATAAAATTCACAAAACCCATCTTGGTTCATCCTTCCACTGTTCCAACAATCACCAACTCTGGTTTGATTGAAATAAACCTTTAATTCACCCAGTTAGATGTGAAAATATGCTGGCTTTATACATGTTAAAATTACTGTTTATTTAAATGGAGTCTGGTGGATTTGGCGATGCCGATTTTGTGGCTTTTTTTGGTTACACAAAAAGGATCTTACTCTTTAACAAAAGGCTCTATCTCTGTAGGGATCCTTTCCATAATGTTGCCAAACACTTAAAAAAAGAATAATCGGAGCCTGTCAGTGATAAAAAGGCACTTTTAGCGGATGTGAATTGACGGTGCGAACATGCCCTGAGTGGTTACATTGCAGCCAGTTTTGCCTGACAGTTTAAGTTAACTGTTTGAAACCTGAGCAATTCGGCTTGATTTCTTTTAAAACGTGGGAAGAAACCATTGAGCAATGAAAAAAGAAATGACCCAGCAAAAAAAAAAAAATAGTAAAAAAAGAAAATTAAAAACAAGGAAATTAGTTAATAAAAATAAATAAATAAATAAATAAATCAGAAATTAAAAACAAACAAGGAAATGACCGGAAAATAGTGCTTAGAAATTATAATAATTCTGTAACCTATAAAATAAAATGTATATGAAAATAAATATGACAATAATTATAAATATAGTTTGTCCCTAGCTATTTTAAATAATAGTAATGATAAAAAAAATAATAATAAAATAATTTTCTATATGTATTACTTGTTTTGCAATTTGTGGGACATTTCTTACCAAGTTGCTCAGTGCCTTTCAACCCATATTTTGAAATAAATCGCAACAACTTGCTCAGAGTCACATTTTCGTGCCCCAATTAGTTAAACATAATTCCAGGTTGCTGGCATACAAAGAGGGAGAGACACAATCTTGGGAGAAAATGAAGAAATGTGTGCGATTGCAAACAAAACGTCACGCATCAACGCATATTAGACCAACGTTGGGTCAACAGCCACAGAAAATAGATTCACCGTTGTTACATTACATGGAAGATTACTGTAACAATTCCATTACACTCAACAATATTCCAGAAATTTTCCAAACGTTTAAAGACTTTTCAAGACCTTGAAAACAAGACCTTGACCTTAGGAACCCTGACTATCAGACACACAATGAGCAGTTAGGCTTGATGCTGTTGCACTGATCTGTGGCAGCTTTGCAGGATCTGAGAGCCCATCAAATTTACTAATGGAGGTAAGCCATATACTGCACCGGCACAGGCGCGCACACGCGCACACACACACACACACACACACACACACACACACACACACACACACACTGTGAACTGTGTGTCTCAGCACTCCAAATAAACACTTTCTATATTTCTGAGGATTATGATAATCCGCTTCCCTCCATGGTCCCATCTACTCGAGAGAGAGTGTGTGTGTGTGTGTGTATGGTGAGTGCCTGAGGAAAGAAAAACAGTATGAGAGTGTGTCCATGTGAAGAGCAAAAATAGATAAATAAATAAATAAATACATCATGAAACTGTTCTCCTTATACAACAGGTTTATTTTTGGTGGCTAGATGCTGTTTGGATTTTTTAAGGATTGAAAAGTATGTGTCCAGTACAAGGAAGTAAAATTACATTGAACGTTACATTTCTTTATGTTTACACACAATGGGAGCTACAGTGTGTTAAAGTGGTAGAACGCCTTTCATACTTTGTACTTAAATGTGACGAGTAAACAAAGTGATTCACACTCTCACACAAACATTTCAAAAATGAGAGGAAGGCTATGAGAGTTACAGTTCAATCTGAATCTGTGCAAAACCACAATGAGAAAAGAACATCGAAGGACGCTGAGAAATAAACACATGGACTTTGTGTCTAACTTTAAATAAAGTACGGAAAGTGCTCAGTAGCTTCGCTGGTGCAAGAGACAAAACACACATTCACACACACACACTTGTACAGTACATAGAGTTCACTCATTCACAAAGATGATGACAAGAGGAGGCACTGGACACAGTAATCTGAATATACATTCATAAAGTGCCCGTTCATACACACATGGGCTATGTACATGTACATTACACAGAGGAACCAGCTTCTTAATAATCAAAGTGCTTCAGAATGAGTGGTGGAGAAAGGTAAAGGACTGGTCAGGTTTTAGAGAGGAGAGACGAGACAATAAAAGAAAGGACACTGAGTCATTCACTTTCAATACAGTCTGTGCGTGAACATAACTTCCTGTTATGAACAGTACAGGATGTAAAGATGTGGATTATGGGAAGGCATTATCAAGGTGTTGAGAGGAAAGCGTAATTAACTGGTTTTAAATCATTTCAATTATACTGAAGCTGAGAGCAGCCGTGCGTGCAATTTAAGAAGAAAAAAAAAAGATTTTTTTGAGGCTTTTTGCCTTTATTTGATAGGACAGCTACAGCGTGAGAGGAGGAATGACATGCAGCAAAGGGGGTGGAATTGAGCCCGTGGCCATCCCCTCTATCCCCCCCATTTCACGCTGTATCTGTCCTATAAAATAACGGCAAAAAGCCCCCAAAAATATCTCTAAAAAATGAAAACAATAAAATCAACCAGACACTCATTTAAGTTATTCAAACTTATTCCGGATCTCAGAAAAACAAAAGTTGTTTTCTCGTGATAAATTATCTCATTATCTTGAGAATTATTTGAGACTTTTGTTTTCTTGTGGTAACAAGATGATTACAGGGTTGAGCCGAACATGAAACAAGTGTCCTGTACAGATGAAACAAGTGTCCTGTACAAATAATGTACTTTTTCATACGAGTAAAATGTGTCAATATCTGTACTTGTGAAGAAGGAAAATCCTCGCTAGAGTAGCTGTGTTCCAACTCTTACTCTCGGGATCAAAATTATCTGAAGCTCAATTCTGAGATTGTTCTGTAAATACTTTTATAATAAACAATAAACATAGCAACTTCCAATCGAGCCTTATCAATCTCAGCTTTCAAACAACTACTTCTGGTAAGACTCCACCCACTCCGGATTGGAACCACACTCATTTTCAGTTTAAACCCCGCCCATTCAGAGTACAGATGCAGCTGTACTCTCTCATCTCTAGATGATTATCTTGTTTTCCTAAGAAAACAAAGCTTGTTTTTCTCTAGAAAACAAAATAATTTATATGTGATCTCGAGATAAAGGCATTAAAAAAATAACTGTGAGCACGGCTGTTCTCAGCTTCTGCACCATTTCTATGTTCTTTATAACTTTTCTGCTCTGCAATGACACATCTCAAAGATAAAAAGCTAATGTCATCCTCTGATGAGGACCATGTCATATGGTTGAAAGTTCCAGAACAAAGCTGAAAAGCCAAACTATTTCAAAGGTTGTTAAAATACCTGGCAGTTAATAATCAAGCACATTTAAAATGGATCAAAAACTATTTTCAGACTTTGCCCCGGCCTGTGTAGAAAAAAAAAATACAAGAGGAAACAAGAATGAGGAGTGTTTACATAAATATATAGTGTACTTTTTCAGCAACAACAGGCTGAATATAAAGATTTAAAAGAGCCCCACAAAGTGCTATTCCTTATAAATATTTCAAACATTGATTTCCTAGCCTATAGGTACATACACAATATGTACAAACTCCTGGTCATGAGGTCAAAGGTCAGGTGGTCTGCTACCTGAAGGTTTTGCTGTTCAGAGTGAAGCTTGTGGAACGGACCACCTCGGAGGTTTCAGCAGGTTCGATTTGGGTTTAAGTGTGTGTGTGTGTGTGTGTGTGTGTGTGTGTGTGTGTGTGTTTCAGGATGTTGCGAGTTAAGACTTTTACAGATTTTTTTTATTCAATTTCAGAAGAGTTTTAAACCATCTGTCAGTGCGACTATAAAATATTAGACCTATGAGAATATAGGAATAAATTTGAATTTATATTGCTTTATTCAAGTTATTAAGAAACTTTGAAGAGTCACAGTCTTAAAGGGACAGTTCACCCCAAAATTAAAAATACTTTTTTTCTTCTTACCTGTAGTGCTGTTTATCAGTAGATTGTTTTGGTGTGAATTGCAGATTGTTGGATATATCACCCGTAGAGATGTCTGCCTTCTCTCCAATATAATGGAACTAGATAGCACTCAGCTTGTGGTGCTCAAACCCTCAAAAAAAAAAAAAACATTTCAAAAACTCAACAGCAATGTCTCTCTCCAGAAATCAGGCTGATAAACAGCACTACATGTAAGCGGAAATGTGTGTTTTTGATTTGTGGTGAACTGTCCCTTTAAGGATTTTGTAAGGTTCCGACACCCTGTGTGTCGTTTTACCTGTTACGTGAATGTTTGCAGTTCTGTTTAACAATCAATGTCTGGTCACTTTGCTTCCTTACAGAATCTCCTGTCCCACTATGTGACAGTGTAGAGTTCATCCTTGCTGCTCTGACAGAGCGTGTACCCACAAACCCGGGGTCTCCAGCTCCAGCTCCAGCCGCGGCTCCAGCCCATTGCCTCCCTGTCCTTCTCCTTCGGCGGCAGCAGGAACACCACGCAGCTGGCCACCAGGATGTGCCACAGCGAGTGTGTGTAGTAGTAGTTGTCCTCTGTCTCGGCAAAAATGTATAAACATACCCCGATCAGGGCACAGAGTGCTCCTGGGAGGAGGAAGAAGACCCAGCGTCTCCAAGAAGGCGGGTAGCACTGTCGTCGCTTTGCCCCTCGGTACACCTGTAAACCAAACAGAGCTAGATTCAGAAAAACTCAGCAGCAGCAACTAAGACGTCAGCAGCAGATTCCAGTCAGGTAGTGTTTTATAAATTTCCTATGTCTTACCCAGGCAATGACCATGAACAGTATGGCACACAGGACAGGGCCCAGCAGGTTCCACAGGCCTTTGCGGTCCAGCTGCATTGACATGGCTATCAGCAGAGCCCCGAGCATGAACAGAGTCTGCACACACAAGGTGATCATATAAAGACATTTTTAAACAAATCTTAGCACTGAAAATATCATATTAAAGGAACACTTCAGCCCCAAAATGCCCATGTTACACTGAATTCAAGTTCAACGTGGACCCCTATAACTTCAACTCATCAAGAATGTTTGCTTTTTTTGGATTCCATGTGGAGGTATGCAAGAAAAACTAATTCTTCCTCACAAATTTAACGTACCATAGGGTGAGTCATCGATATACAAATGATTATTTTGCCAGCGAAGTGTTCCTTTAATCCTCAGTTCAGTGTTTTAATAGTATTACAGGCCATAGTCAGTGTCTTACATATTTGAAAGTGTCTCTGATGCGAGCCATGCACAGGATGGTGACCCAGATGGAGCAGACCGACCCCAGGAAGTCACAGTATTGTAGGGTATCGTAGTCCATTATACACAGTACAGCTACACCGGGCTGGTCACACGCGTGATAGAACTGGAATATGAAAAGAATAGACACGGAAAAAGATGAATCATTCTACTTATGACACATGACACATACACATGGTATAGAATATATAATTAAAGGAAAAATTCACCACCTTTTAAATGGAAGCCCAGTCAGTGTTGATGGTAGATGGAGTCAAGTGAAGCAATAACTTCCTCAGTGTGTGTATTGACAGAGAAAGCTGAGCTCCAGCAGTGCCTACGTGTGCCTGGTTGCCTTGTATATGAGCTTCTGACGCCCATAACTATCACTAGCCTGCTAGCATGTAGCCCTCTGTTACCTACTTTGATGGCTAAAACATGGTGTAGCTGAGGTCTATAAGTAGAGCCTATTCTTCTGCAGGTAACAAAACAAAAGATGGATGCTCTGCAGTCTGCAGCAGCGTGAACCAACACAGCAACACTCTTCAGTATTTTTCACATTGTCCACGGCAGCGCATCACTGCTTCACTTCTTCTGTTTTTCACCTTTCAATTGAAATGAATCATCATTTTTGTAAAGAGGCTACTCAACAAAATTAGGTGACAAAAATACTCACTTACTAGTCAATTGGTTATCTTTTCCAGTTTATCTTCAGGATCCCAAATGTCTGTGGCACACCTTTGTCCAAGTGAGGAGTTAAATTTTCATCCATATTAATGTAACGCACACATGGGCTCTCTCAGCATCAGCTACAGCATCCAACAAAAGCCCATGCTGGAATTAACTGCAGCATAATGATTCTGTTTCTGTTGGCATCGGCGGGCAACTGGAGTAAAAGCACCACCGGTTGCTGTTTGCTCTCAGCAGCTCAGGTTCTGGAGGGTCCCCACCGTTCATATCCTCTCACAAGGCAGCCCTGCCTCAGCCATTCTCCACTGCATTTCTTCAGGTATATACTCTGGCTCGAATAAATATGGCCGCATGTCCAAGTCTGCCAAAACTCTCTGAAATGTATCCTCATCCGTAACATCCTCTGAACTCATATTTTATGATGACATTTCCACTGTTTGAGACATATCTAGTTTGCAATACAAGTGAAAAGAACAAGGAAGTTTTGTTTTTGAGTGGCATCTAGAGCACTCTACTGGGCTACCTGGAGAACAAAACCAGCTTGTAGTTTTTCCTGCGTCTAACTATATCACTGTTACGTCAAAAGATGGCGCTGCAAGCAGGAAGAACAGATTTTGCTTGTGAGCTCAGCTTTCTAGGTCAATAAGGATCACACTGAGGGGTTTATTGCTTTAATCAACTACATTTACCATCAACACTGATTGGATAAACATGTAAAGGTGGCAAATTTTCCCTTTAAGTCCTAAAAATATTAGCAGGTGTAAAAGGTACACTTTGTGCCTTAACTGTACATGATCAGAATATAAAACTCTGGATGGCAGTCTTCACTGTCTTGTAAGGAGGATCAGTTTTTGTTTAGGTCTCCTGGGCTCACTGAAAGTATAATGACTCAAGTAAAAACTTGCAAAGCTTGAGCTAACAAGTTTTCACACATTGTAAACTCCGACAAAATTCTTGCTTTGATTTCTCGAAACGTCCCTCTTACGCAGCATTACACCATAACGACAATCCTCAAGGAATAAATGTAATATGTATTCCCACATGTATGCACGAGTGTGTGTGTTACCGTGGAGAAGAACATTGTGAAGAGGTAGACAGAGGCCTCAGTGATGTAGCAGCGTTTGATGGCCACCACCATGGCAGGCAGGAAGGAGAGGTTACTGAGCGTGAGCAGAAGAGTTGCTGCCAGCTGGCGGCGGTACGACTGAGCTGTCGAATCATCGGTGCAGCCCCAACCGCTCCAGCCTGCAAACACACACACACACAAACTGAAGTCAAATAAATACAAAACAGAATGAATCAGTAAATAGCAGGAAAGAATACAGCGAGGAAACTTATTATTTTTGTTTGAGTAGCAACCAAATCACCTGAAGAAAATGTTGGCATTGCACGTTTCTGCAAACCATGGATACGTTACATTGGCATGTTATGTAGCGGATAAGTTGAAACTTTCACAACGCTGTGGTTAATGTGCGATTATGTTTAGGGACAAAAACCACTTGGTTATGGTTAGGAAAAGATCGAGTTTTGGCTTAGGATACCCAGTTTTAAGGGCAGGGTACCCCCTGGAAAAGAAGCATATGTCTGTAAAAAACAACCGCTTTTCATGCCACTATTCCCACTGAAATAAATAAAAAACAAGAACAAATAAAAAAACAGCTATGGGTTGCTAAAAAACACCCACGTTAGGGGGCTAAAAAAAGCTGGAAACACAGCAGTGATTTACTCAAAAACAACTGTTTTTGTTGTTTTTTTGGTCTTGAACAGTGGTCTGCAGAGCATAGGTGTTGTTGAAAATGCATTAATGTCTCTCTAAAAAAAACAGCTGCTTTTTGTGACACTATCTTTGCTAGAAAAACAGCTACAGGTCTCTGAATAACACCCATGTTTGGTGCCTAAAAAGCTGCTGGAAACACAGCAACCACTTGCTCATAAACAACCGGTTTGTTGCCTGTTGATCTAAAACAGGGGTCTGCAGCTTGGCTAGTGTCTCACCTAGATGTTACACCATCCACCATCCCATCAACCTCCCGATGAGAAAGTCAGCTTATATACTATGTCGCTCTAGAAATGTTGATACGTATGAATCATGCAAATGTAGCGCATCAGTGGTTTGCAGAAGTGTGCAACACCACTGAGCTGTAGACTAGTTATTCAGGTTATTTAAGTGAAAGCAAAGTACCTTTATGTTTGTTTGTGTGTGTGTGTGTGTGTGTGTGTGTCGTACCAGCCTTGCAGACACAGGCAGCGTACAGGTAGCTGTAGGATCTCAGCAGTCTACATTCACCATATGTCCCACAGTCCTCTACACAGGCGCTGATGAACACCTCTGGGAGCACAGACACCAACGATGTATTACCACAGTCGCTGCTGCAAGAAAAGCACACACATTTTACATTTTAACCATGAGACCAGCCCATAACACTATCAAAACACAATCTAGTAAAGGAAAACAGTAAACATCTACTGTGTGTTGAGAGTAGTGTGATCCTTATCTGAGGGAGGATGCACACACAATACAAGATAGACATATAATATTTGCATGTGTCTGTGTTACCTGTTGCATGTTAGCTGCAGGGTGAGGTACCATGTTGTCGACTGAGGAAAAGGCAGCCTGACCACAGCTTTAGGAACGCTGACATTCACATGAACACCGTATCCTCCAAACAAAGCTGCAGATACACACAAGACAAAGTCAAGCTCCCATTTGCTACTTTTAATCAGCTGGACTATTTTCTGCTGTTCTATCTTGATGTTGCCTGGTTCATTAAAGGGATAGTGTGAATGTTTTAGAGTGAGGTTGTATGAAGCATCTAGTAGATGGCTGTTGGCATGTCCCCAGTTTGGAGAAGCAGGTAGGAGTATCAACAGTGAAGCTAGGCAATGGTAAAGGGTGAAATTCACCCTAATTCACCCTTTTAAACACCAAAGTCACACAAACAAACTAACTGATAAGAGGCAGCAGGAGACCAGCAACTCCTGTGTTCAGCGATGTAAAAGTACTGCTTTTGTCAAAGGAGTCTGGAGGCTTTGAAGACAGTGTAGGAGCTAAGTCTATTACTTGCAGCTACATGGATGTTTCACCCGGCCTGACCTGGCTGACATGCTTTGCACGGTCGATGACACAGCTTCCTTTGTTGTGTTGGGTTCAGACAATAAACGGCCGGCTCCAGTTGCAGAGCAATCAAACCACGAAACATACGTTGAATAAATGGCTATTTGTTTATCTTTTATCCAAACTGAACACACAGCACGTTGCACACTATCCTTTTTTTCCTCGGCCTGCCAGTGTTGACTTGCTGTGTGCTGTTTCTGGCTTCTGTGGTAGATTATGTAGATTCTACCGAAGACAGAGTGCAGCAAGCAGTGTGACTGCTAGTCAGTCAGTTGCAGCTGCTGCTACAATAGTTCTCAGAGTCCGCAGCCTACCTAAAATGGACAATAAAGCAGCAAGAATTTCAGCCAGTCCCGTCTCCATTGAAGGTGAGCGTTGTGGTGCACTTTTGATTCCACATTCTCCCACGAAAGAGGCAGCTTGACATAACTTATTCAATATGCAAGGTTTGCAAAATGAAAGTCACATACTTCTGGAACACTGAAGTATGTGACCCAGAGATGAAAGCGTAAGGTTTGCCTTTGTGTGTTTACATTGTTGCATCAGTTGAGGTCTAACTATTTCAAATATAAAAACTATGATATACACACTTTACTCTTTCTTCATACCATCATTTGCCACACTGCCTTACTTAGCTTACAGCAGACTGGAGTATCCTGAAGTTAGCACCCTTATGTACTGAATCAAGAATCAATTTTGAATCATAATACCAGATACTATGACTGACTATACCCACTTTTCCACTGCACAAAAAACCTGCTAACACCCACTCACATCTCGCTTTTGTATTTAATGGGAAAGGTTATAATTGGCAGGGTCAAATGACTCCGCAGTAGTCACGGGTATTTATCGGCTCTGGCTTCTACTGGCAGTGACAGAAATGCAAAACCAGGCTGAACAGGCTCATTTTAGCCCTTTAATTGGCAAGATGCAATGACGTGCCACTACAAAATACTGTCCATCTCCGCCCAAGCAGCCCTCAAACATCGTTCAAAATTAATCTTCACCGAGTTAGAAAGAGAGACTGAATAATTATACAAAAAGAAGCAGCCACTGTAAAGTTTTCAAAGGCCTCCATGCTGCTTTCTAGCCTGTCCGTGAAATGGAACATGACACACAAAAGCTGAGAACATGGCTCTGGTCTACTGGCAATGCAAAAGGAGTGTGTCGCCTATTTTTAGCAGGTTTACCCATGTTTAAAAAACCTGTGTGCACACACTTATGTTGGTAGAAAAGGGGTATATGTTTAACTACACACAACCCCACTTGAAAAAACCCAAACTATCCCTTTAAGCCATGGTTGTTCTTTCCAGGTGTTTATTATGCATCATTCATCATTTCCTCAGTACGAATATAAATAACTCAGGTTATCTGTGTTACCTGTGCGACAGGGTTGAGAGTGGTTGAGCTCGAGGACTGGAGCCCATGGAGAGAGACAGGCCACCACACTGCTGCCGTTCCCCAGGGTTACATTAGTCTAAACACACACACACATATCAAAGTAAAACAGCATGAAAGCTCAACTCTGTTAAACTCAAATTTAACAGGCTTCATCAGATGTTCAGTGACTCAGTTGTACTCACAGTGTTGAGTGTGAGCTGTAGGTTGAGTGTGCCACCGGTGGCCTGTGGGTGCAGGGGGTAAGTGAGCAGTGTGGGGTGTGTATCTGTGACACTGACATTTGGTCCGTTGACAGGTGTGAATCGGAGCGACAGTACGTCCACCTCCTCGTAGAGCACGGGGATGTTCCACACACACGCCGACGGCAACAGAGGTGTTAACAGTGATACTGATTCGTTGTATAAGGCGGCTGCGTCTGTGACCACTGAGCTGTTGCCTGCTGATGTTGAGTTGGCGTAGCTGCTGTTGCCGCGGAGCTTGGTGATGTCATCATCCACTTTAAGGCCTACGCTTTTTGGCTTACACCCCACTGAGGCACACACACAGGTAGTAAATTAGAACAGAATATAATGTGTTTAAACTCATGTTGATGGACGTGTGTGTATCTGTGATCACCTGTGTAGTTTGAGACGATACTAAAGGTCACAGTGCGGTTGTCGAGGCTGCTCTCCACAACAACCCGTAACCAGGTATCCCAAGGTGGGTTGGAAAGAGCTGCGGAGCAGGTAATCCCTGAGCAGTTCACTGTTACTGGGCGCTGCTGCAGAGAGGTGGAGCCGAGCCTGAGGAGCAGTGAACAGTTTTCACCGTCTGCTCCCTCCCCTGACGAACAGTCAGCCACGGAGACGGAGAGAGAGGAGGCAAACTCTGGAACATACAACCTGAGACAGACACAAAGATATATGAACTGGAGTTATATAGACTGATAAAAAAATAAGGATAATGTATTGTCATTTCAGAACATATGCACATGAAAGATCTAAATTAGGTCCCGTGCAGGTAAAGAAAGAAGAGTCTACACCATAACCAGGAGCCAGATAGATCACTGCACCGCTGTGCACCACCAGCAAATATAAAACAGAACACAGGATGGGAACAGAGTAAATAAAATTCCTCCACATGCACACACAGACAGTTTTACTTACTTAAGGCGTGCAGGTTTGTCAGGTGCTGCAGTCTGCTGGAGGAATGTGCCCTGCTGTAAAATGGGTGTGTCCACCGCTCTCCTGATTGACAGCTGAGGCTGGAAGAAGTAGGAGCAGGACGGAAAGCCCTAACAGATAAAGACAAAAGATAAATACATATACACACACACAGGTTCATAATTCTCTTCAGTCAATCGACCCTGTCAACCACCTCTCATAAAGGCCGTTCAAAGTTTGTCAGATGACTAATAAACTGATAAGATTAATAAATCAGGAGGACGATAAACAGAAAAAACAATGGGCGGCTAATGGAGATATAATGTTAAAGCCTTAGTTTCAAGTTTCAGTTACTGGATTTTACATCTTTTTTTATCTCTATGGTTTATTTTACTGATTTTAATTTATTGATTTTTTAAAATGTTATTGTTTTATCTGTGCTATTTTTAGTCTTGAAAAAATGATATATATATACATTTTGGTCTGTGTTGTTTCAAGTTTGCTAAATGAAGCATTTTGTGCTGCAAGTTTGTGTGAAATAAATAAAGTGGAGTGGAGTTGAATTGAGCTGATAAGACAAAATACAAAAAGAAGTTTTCTTTCAAGGCCAGCCCTCGGTAAACAAGACTGCACTACGAGCTGCAATTCTGCAATATGGACAGAGGCCAAGAAAAGGAATAAGAGGAAGAATGTGGTTTAGCTAGTTTGTGTAATAATCAATCCACCTACACCCCCCCCCCTGCTCCGGTGGAACAGGTCGGGGTAAAAGGGAAAGAGGAATACTGAGACTTTACCTTGGTATTTCAATGCAAAACAAAGTTCTTATTTGGACAAATATGATGAACACACAGTCCAGTAATGGGACAACAAATTTAAGAAAGCCAAAAACCATAATGACAAGCACATGCTGTGTTTACATCTCCATACAAACCTTCTGCTCAATGCGCCCATCATCTTCAGGCAAGTGGGCACCGATGTACCAATCACCGGGAGCAGGATTGGAGAGGTTAAAGGTTGTGGAGCTGTGTGATGTCACCGGCAGGATCAGAGACAGACAGGGGCTCCATAGTGTTGCATTTGGAAACTTTGTCCCTGTTGGGTTTATAACTGGAGGGGCACCATATTGAATATGGCTACAAAGGAGAGAGTTTCAAAGTAAGTTTCAACAAAATAAAAGGCAGAAAATTCAGCAGAGAAACTGAGAAGAGGATAAATAGAAGCTGATAAAATGTTTTTATGATGCAGAGCTCAGTGTGTCTCACATGGTGACGTTGTGCTGTCCACAGTGGAAGCTGTGGCCCTTGGTGACGGTGAACAGCCAGCGAGCGACGGCACTTTCCTCTGGAATATGAAACCTCTGCAGCCTCACGTTGCCGTACCAACCGTACTTTGACAACTTCTGGGCCGGTTTGGACGAGAGTTCGGATACAAATGTCACCTGTCCATCTGTAGAAAAGAAAGAGGCCTCGTTATCAAGATGAACTGTAAACATTTGGTAGTTCCTGGTGTGGCCAGTTCATTTGGTATATGTGAGGCTTTTTGTGTTGTTTTTGATTTGCGTTTCTTTTGTTTGTTTTCAGTTCCACATTTTAGTTTGTACATGCAAGACCACAAGATGGTTGTGAAATAACAGTGTTATGTAATCCCATGTTCTCCCTGTGTCAGCTTGGGTTTTCTCCAGGTACTCCGGCTTCCTCCCACAGTCCAAAGACATGCAGGTTAACTGGTGACTCTAAATTGTCCGTAGGTGTTAATGTGAGTGTGAATGGTTGTCTGTCTCTATGTGTCAGCCCTGTGATAGTCTGGCGACCTGTCCAGGGTGAACCCTGCCTTTCGCCCAGTGTCAGCTGGGATAGGCTCCAGCACACCTGCAACCCCTAACAGGATAAGCAGTCACAGAAAATGAATGAATTTAATACCATAGATGATGACATAATACTCACTAAAATGAAAAGGTATGGAATCAGAGAGGTTGTGCTAAACTGGTTAAAAAACTGTGAAGAAAGCCAGCAACATGGGGCCTTGGTGGTTTAGTGGGTGTAGCGGGGTTCTTCCGGGAAAAATATAACGTAGTCAGGAAGATACGTTTTAAAGTGTTTATTCCACCAAACCAACCAAAACAGTAAAAAAAAAAAAATGTACAAAGTAACAACAAAATATTTACAAAAAGGTACACTGGGTTCAGAGTTCTTCAGTAGCCCAAATTACAGCTGGACCACCGGCCAAAAAAACAAGGACAATAGTCCAAAAACACGCTCACTCAATACTTTCTCTTGTTGTCAAATACCTGCCATGTACCACCAACTCTCCACACCAACGTGGACAAGATGGCTGCCTTATAAATCATAAGCCCCTCCCACTGGGCATGACACAAAAAGAATAATTAACTTTGAAATCAGTGTTTCCCTACAAATAGAAACAATTAAAAATGTATTGACAAATAGTTAAATACAGAGAAAAAGCTCCTTTAAATATTCACTGTTCAACATGTCAACATACAGTCTCCAATACTGCAAAATAAACATAATTAGCGCAAACACACATTTAAATTAATCAGGTGACCATTTTCCCGCTATGTCCCCTTTAAACCCCAGGAACTCGATACGCCCCTGTTTGGCGGATTCGGCGTCTGACAAGAGGGCAGCGGGGAGGACAACCTGGCGACTGCGGTGAGTGTCTATGTGATATAAATGGATATGAACAGGCGTGCAGAACGGCGAGTGTGCACCCTCGTGCGAACTACAGAACTGTGGGGCGGTGAATTATGGCGATAATTGCAACCAATGTAGTGGACCAGAACGGGGCTCGGAAATGTTTGATGAGTGGTGTGTAATGTGTAGCGCATAGCGCGTAGCATGTGTGTCTGTGTGTGTGTGTGTATGGTTGCACTGCCCGCACTCAGTGACGGGGCCGCTCCGTCACAGTGGGTAAAGCAGGCGCCCCATGTACAAGGCTGTTGCCGCAGCGGCCCAGGTTCGAATCCAGCCTGTGGCCCTTTGCTGCATGTCATCCCCCTTTCACGCTTACCTGTCCTGTCCATTAAAGGCAAAATGCCCCAAAAAAATCTGAACAAAAAAAAAAGAAAGAAAGCCAGCAACATTTAGTGCAGATTGGTAATTACAAATCAAATTGTCTAGACATTACTTGTGGAGTTCCATAGGGGTCTGTACTAGGTACTATAAATGATATGGGGAGAGTATCAAACTGTTTTATTTGCAGACAACACTGTAGTGACATTCTCTCTGAGTCCCAAAACAAGCAACTAACGAGTTGTAGGCACAGTAACTTCAGTGTGACAGGAATGACAGTTGATGTAATCCAGTTTTAAACATTTACTGAAAAAGTTTATATTACCTTTAGAAACACAGTAGAAAAATTACTACTACTTTTACCTATTTCTATATAATGTATGGAATAAAATTCTGTATGCAGTTTAAATGAACAAATTTCAAAATGTGGTTTGACGCAAACAAACTAGGGATGCACGATAATATCAGCACATCATCACATTACAGCGGTATCTGCCAATATTGGCTTGGAGTCAAATATCAAAATCAGCCAACATGCCAATTTCTGCCGATGTGAAAAACCAATATATATAGGCCTACATTTTTTTTTAATATCAATCGTAGATCAAAACCTTGTGTCCAGTGCCCATGGAGATCGGTAAACTACAGGATACACAGGAAGGAAACACAGGCACTCCAAAAATATAGAAAATGAGCAAGGAAGTATTAAAAAGCCTTAATTGTAGTGGTTAACTCATTAAAGAGCCAACTTGTTTAGACCACTGCAGGTCTTCGTCAGGGCTTTAAAAATACGTTTTTACATCTGTTTTACAAATTTCTTAAACCACCACAACCTCAAACAACTATTGTAGAAAACAAAAGGCTGTGAGTTATTATTGTCCTCAGGACTTCGCAGATTTTAAAGGAAACACTCTTTATAAACGCATATAAATCAGACAATGAAATAACAATAGTACACAATGCAAACAAGACTGATCCAAGACTCCTAACATTTCATTGGTTCATTTGTAATGCATTTCAGTTTGTAAATTGTACCTCTCTAACAATTTTATATTACCTCTTAGTCTGTAACTCTTACTTGCTTTTATCTTTCTCTGATGTTATTCAATAAGGGAGGTATCTTCATGAGCCATTTTTGGCTTCTAACCTCTCCTGCACAATCTTTTAGCTTTTAATTTCTTCTTTCTGTCTTTTCTATAAAAGTGTGTGCAAATAAATCAACTAAAATAATGGGACAAATGATTAGAAATATTCATTTTGAAGAATTATACAATGGAGAAATTTAACCAGAGACATTAAGAGATGCAAACACGTGCAGTTAAAATGACGAATCTGACACTGGAATAGAAAACAAACCCAGCTGCATGCAGCAGACAGTGCTGGACATGCAACTGACTTTAAACGTTACCAAGTTAAATAGCCAAATAGCGGCACGGTTTATTGAGAGATACAATAAAGATACACATTGTCACCTTCATATTATTTATAAGGTTGATAAAAATATCACTTTAACAATGTTCATGTGAATGTTAGAGTAGTTTGAGACCATTTAGCAGAGCGCGGATTATACGAAACGTCCCTGTATCCAGGTGAACGCGCACATCGAGACAGTTAGCAAACATGCTAATACCAGTTTCCTCTGACTTCGTCTTTTTCAGTGAAAACACTCACCGTCTGCTAACGTCCAGGCCCACAGGACGACCAACAGGAGCCCACGGAGAAAACAAACTTCCATGTTTCCGTTGCGAGTGTCTGAAACATTACATCGTCCTTTATAAACCTGTAATGTCACACCAGTCCATCGCTACTGAGAAATCATCCTTCCCGCACGGCACTTCCTGAATTCCATGTAAATATCGACGTCACTAAAGTCGTCGGGTGCTGCCTTTGGGGTCTGTCGGAAAGATGAATATTATTCGCATTGACGAAGTCGAGAGGTAGCAGTTCAGTTAGAATTTGTGTCATTTTAAAAAAAGATGATGTTTAAATGTTATAAAAGCAACATAAATACCTTATTCAACATTATTTTGTTATAAGACAAAACATAATGCCAAAATATAAATCAGATAGTTCACAAATACAGCACGTGTGTTAACTACAATGTGAACTCTTGAAAGTACAAACTAGGGATTATCCAGGAAGGCAACACTTGCATGATAAACTGTATAGCTGAGTTGAACTTATTGTTTGATAAATCTCTGCATGCTAAATTTGATATACATAAATTTGTGTTGACCAAGTCATTGCCCTCTTAAAAAGTTTTTTTTAGGACAGATTTTAATATTTCAATGCAGTCTCTAGAACAGTGGTTCCCAACTGCTGGGTCCTGATCCAAAAATGGGCCCCGATTCCATTCTGAATGGACCACAAGTGACTCACAAATGTGTTAAATTTGTAAAAAAACGCACTTTATTTTGAAGTACAATGAATTTCTAGCGCAAAGCTTTTACTTTGAAGTGCTGTTTCCTGCTATAGAGTGAGTGACTAATGGACAGCTATATGATGGAGACAGCAAACTCGCCCAAGGACATGGTCAAACACAAGGATGATGCTGAATATATTAAACTGTGTGGACCTTGAACAAATGACTAAGGAGAAATCTGGACATTGTGGCTGGACCAGTTTGGAACCAGTTCTCTAGGACATAAACAACATTTTATTGTATGACGGAGCACAAACACAGTTCTGTAACGACTGTGGTTACTTTCCCAGTTCTCCAAGATATTGAAAAAGCTCTTTATTGACAGGTTATACAATTTCATAGAAAAGCACAAACTGTCACTGGATAGTCAGTGCGGATTCAGAACAAACCGATCAACATCCATGGCGTTAATTGAGTAAACAGAAGAAACAACCAGTTGTATTGATAACAAAACATATGCAGTGGGAGTATTTATAGATTTTTAAAAAAGCATTTGATACCATACATCATGAAAGTGGCTAAAAAGCTATATTGTAAACCAGTACCATTTGTGTAGATTGGTAATTACAAATCCAAATGTCTGAATATTACTTGTGGAGTTCCACAGGGGTCTGTACTAGGTCCTTAGCTGTTTGTTTTGAATATATATGAAATATGTAAAGTATGAAGTATTTATCAAGTATTTATAGATCAGTGGTTTTCAAATTTTTTAAGCACGCCATAGGACAAGCCAAATTCTCAAGGCACAACGATAGATAGATAGATAGATAGATAGATAGATAGATAGATAGATAGATAGATACTTTATTAATCCCCGTAGGTAAATTGTCGTGTCCAGTGGCTAAGGCACATATAAGACACATAAAAGAGTACAAGAACGAGTAATATAAATACAAATATAAATATAAAAGTAAAAATAAAATAAAATAAAATAGAAATAATCTACATGTAAACAGTGTACACTATCAGAAGGTACAAAGTGCAAAAGTGCAGGAGGGTATGCGGGTGTAGTGAGGAAATGCGCTATGTGCTCCCTCTCCCATTGAAGTCTGATGGCTGTCGGGATGAAGGACCTCCTGAACCTCTCAGTCCAGCACCGCAGTGACAGGAGATGATGGCTGCGGCTGCTTTTCTGTCCAGCCAAGATGCAGTGCAGTGGATGATTATCACAGTCTAGTATGCCCTGCATCCTGCTCCTCGGGCATCTCTCTGTGATGGTCTCCACCGAGTCCAGGCTCCTGCCCAGCACTGAGCCTGCTTTCCGGATGAGCTTATCTAGCCGTTTCCTGTTTCTGTCCATCAGGCTTCCTCCCCAGCAGACTGCAGCGTATAGCAGAGAGCTCTCCACTGCTTATTTATAAAACATAAAACGACCTCTATAACAAGTGTTATCACTCTTATCGTGACGTAAATGTTTGATTTTATTTACTTATATCAAATAACAATCGACAACCAACCATTTTACTCATTAAATATTTATTAACAAAATGATTTGAGAATTCATTTTAAACCTTTTTTAAAATTGCATAAAAGAACCAATAGCAGATCCATTTAAACAAGAAATAATGTCATATAATGTAGGAGAGAAGATATGAGAAATAAGCACAGGAGAGAAGTGACAGCTGTTCTTGTCTATTGAATGTGATTAGACATTTAAATAAAATTTAGTGCAATCGAATTAAAAAGACAGAAAGACAGACTTCATGATATCTCTGCAATTCCAGTGCCAACTGTGTAAAACATTTACTGGACATAACATTTCTACATATCTTCTAAAAGAGCTTCTTCATATTTATGGTTTCCTTCATTTTAAATAAAGGTTTTGTGTCATGTGGAACTCCTAAAATAGGCAGAATAAACTGTAAACATCTTAATCTTTAGAGTAGTGAATAAGAGACTGTGACACATTCATCATTAAGCATCATTCATAATTCATCCATCAAAGTGCATTTAAATCTCACTGCATTACAGGCAGTAACTGTTGAAGAGCTTAAAGAGAATGTATTTAAACTGTGCTCAAAGATCATACAAACGTCACATCATCCTGAGACTCCACCCAGCACCACTGAGCATCATAGCCCAGCAAAGATGTCTCACTATCAGGTGCATGCTCCTCCTCTTTTGTCATATTGTTCTGAGAGGCTCTGAAACTCTCCTGAGTTTGTTGCTCTGTCTGTTTCTCCCCCGACTCTTTAGTGAGGGATAAACTACCATTATTTGCTTTCACTTCTCTTCTTGCCCTGTTCGATCTGAGGAGAGCTCTCCTGATGGTGTCAGCACCGCCTTTGATGTCATGTAATGGAACTACATCCGAGTCCTTTTGTAAGTTGGCGCTAACCAAACCATTGGCGGGGCTAGATGAGGCCTGGCCATGACTGGAAGGACTCAGAGGTCTTGCTTCGGTAGAGTCGGGGATCAGCATGTCGAAGTAGGTCTTGTGGTTTGAAACGCCATCTTCAGTGTGTGCTGGTGGGTCTGCTGATTCCTCACCAGAGGTTTCAATCAAGTCTGGAGTTGGACTCAGGCTCTCTCTGCGGGAGCGGTAGTGGAAATAGTCAGACCCATACTGTCATTTTATTTACTCCTTCGCTTAATGGTTTTTTCTTTAAAATGTATGTCTATGATTTTGTATTAATACATTGTTGTTCATTGTTTCTTTAATAATCTAATTACCTATCATATTCCAGTCCTGTTAATTGAATTCACTGTCTTAAACTGTAATTGTGCTTTGGCAACACATATGAAATGTCATGCCATTAAAGCTTATTGAATTGTACTGAATTGGAAACTACCAGCAGGATGTTAGGGTATTCTTAATTCAAGTCCAAGAGTTTGATGATATCCTTTATAAGTATACATTTATCATATCGTATCTTGAAAATCCACTGTCATATACTAAAGTGATCCCCGCACACCCTGGGCCCCGCCCCTGCTTGTGGCCCAAGGATACTACTCCTACATATATAAATAATATTACAAAATGATCTAGTGAAGTGGCCGTCGTAGATACATCTAAAAAAACACGTCTTGATATGTCACAGTTGCTGTTCACAACTTTTTGTCATACTAGTGGAAACTGTCACGATGACATAGCTAACTTTCATCTAACACAGCTGTCAATCATGTCAGTCACTGTTCGTGAACTTCAGTCAGGCTGTCAAACTTGACAGTGCTGATCAAATATGAATCAACATTCTATCACTGCATTGCATATTTCTCACCTTACATGTTTTCAAAGACATATTTTAGTGACTGTTGAAGATTATTTTTTGGCATTTTTGCCTTTATTAGCTAGGAGAGTTTCATGTGAAATGGGGAGAAAAGAGACGAGATGACATGCAGCAAAGGGCAAGAGCTGGAATCGAATCAGCAGCTGCTGCGGCAAGGACATAGCCTTTGTGCATGGGGACCAGCACTACCAGGTGAGCTAGTGTCTACATTCTGTTACTGCATTCCGTATTTCTCATATCTGATGTTTTCAAAAACATATTTTAGTGATTGTTTAAGATTATTTTTCGGCATTGTTGCCTTTATTAGATAAGAGAATTTTGTGTGAAATGGGGAGAAAGAGACAAGGTGACATGCAGCAAAGTGCCAGAGTTGGAACTGAACCTGCAGCTGCTGAGGCAAGGACATTGCCATTGTGCATGCGGCACCCACACCACCAGGTGAGCTAGTGGGCACCGGATAGCATATTGTTTAGCTGTAAAATAAAAAGTGTGCTCCAGCCATGTTTCCAACATGGCAGCTGGGTCACAAACTTTCTCATTTTACAGCTAAACAGTACACTACTGTCTCTGACAACATTTGAGGGAAGACACAGGTAATGCAGTAAAAGAATTTTGATGCATATTTTATCTGTGCTGCCTATTTGCAAAGATACAAACTCCGGTCACATGACTTAGACTCGAGTTAGGCTCAAGTCACAAATTCTATGACTTTAGACTCGACTTGACAAAATCAAAAAAGACTTGCAACTCCACATGCACTTTAACACCAATGATGGGTGACTTCACTTGGATTTGAGCCTTTTGACTTAAAAATATTTGATACCTTACCCAAAACTCAAAGACTAAAAATGTTACTTAAAAAGTATGCCATGAATCAATTCATGTCCCATAATATCCTGAATCAACTAATGTTAATGCTACTGATTCCCAGCAAGTCGACATTTAGTTCCCCAGCTCCATTTTTGTTTGAATGCGTCTGACAGCATCCAGTCAAGTTGCAGGAGAGAACCCTGAACGCCAGTTGGAAAAAAATGATACCAAAAATAATTTTGTTCATGTACAAAAACAACACAGTAGTTGACAAAAAACAAATTGCAGTAACTGGGACCTGAGCGCAAAGACTAGAGACTTATTTGTGACTTGCAAAACAATGACTTGGTCCCACCTCTGCTAGT